TTGGCCAGGGTCTCTGCGCCAGGCTTCCCCACACGAGGAGCAGCTTGGAAACGGGACGTCTTGAGCGTTCCTTTCCATTTTTCCATTCCATTATTCCTGTCCCCAGCGGAGATCCTGGATCTCTGCCTTGTCCCTTTTATCGGCCCATGGCACAGCAGGAGACCCGGGGGATGCCCGGCTCATACCAGGAGTTTGGTGGCACTTCAGCCTGGAGCAGGAGTTGGATGAACGAGGTGTCGGGGCCAGGGTTCGGTGACGGATATCGTGTGTTTCTTTTGCAGGGCGAGACGCTGGGTACAACTCAAGTGTCCCGGCTTCCCACGCAGAAGAGGCAAATCTGTACGAGGAGCCGCCGGACCCCTCGGCCATCTATGAAGAACCCCCTCAGGTTGGTGCATGGGGGAGGACAGAGGACCAAAGGGCGCCTGAGAGCTCACTGGGGTCCTCATGCGAGAAAGCATGGCTTTGTCTCGTTTTTTAGGATGAGTCTGGAACATTCTTAGGAGCATCTCTTCCCTTTGGGTGCAAACACACCCTCCGGTGCTCAGAGCCTGGCTGCCTGGGCTAAAATCAGTAGGAAACCGAGAAACCCCAGAGCTCAGATGTGCTCGGGCCACATCTGCACGAGGGGCTGCTGCTGCGTCCCTTCCCAGCCCTGATGGCAAGAGAAGCTGACGCTGAGGCCCCGTCACCCGTCCCGCACCCTGTGCCCTGGGGTGCTCCGGCTGGTGTCACTGCCCCCGTCCCTGGAGCCCAGGGAGGGGGCAAGGGGAGAGCCTCTCGTCACCCTCTTTGCCAAAGCTCTTCCTCCTCCTTCTCCTGCTTCTTTGCACGTCCAAAACCAGTGGAGCTGACAAAGCCCAGCTATTCTTGGCATGCTCCGTCAGATTCTCCAGCGTCTAATAGCGGGATTGTGTCATGCTGCAATATTTCTCTTGGAGATGTGGTGGCCGTTTGGTTTCCTCTCTTCTATTCATCTCTCTTGCCCCCCGCCTCACGAAACCATAAGCATTTCAAACATACTTAATTGTCTTGTTCTCGAATTTGTCTGGAAGTGTCCAGCTGGTTCAAAAGGAGCGGTAGATGGGTTGAGTGATCGCCTCAGCCTCTCTGTACAAAAGAAAAGTAAAAACCGGCCAGCTCGGGTCTCAAAATAGTAATGGGAGAGAAATGCTTGGAAAACTGGAGTTGGAGCTTGCCCAGCTTAAACGCGGGGGTGATGAACCGCTGCCTGCAGCAGAGATCCTGAGGGGTCAGCTTCCAGAAGGGTTGTCTGCTCTGGTCTCTGGTGTTTCTGGTTGTGGTGCTGGCTGCCAGGCTGGAGGCACTGCGGCATCGGTGCTTGTTTGTGAGCCAAAGCGCAGAGCTGGCCGCCGTTGCTCTTCGGGGCGAGGCTGGTTTGCACGCTTGTCGCCTTTATCACCTGGCAGGGACACGCGGAGCCCCCGGAGTCAGTGTTTTCATTCTGAGGGGGCACCTGGGACCTCCTGCACGCAGTTCTCCGAGGCTTGGGGGGCTGATCTAAATCTCTGGGCGTTGCATGGTGTTGCACTCCTCCTTCCCGCTGTTTTTTCTCCCCCAATTCCCAGTGCGCGGCAGCTCCCAATCCACCCAGGAAACAAAGCGGTGCGGCGACAGGCAGAGCGACGGGGCAGCGCGCGCCCTGCGTGCCCCGTGTTGGGGTGGCGAGACCCCGGCCTGCAGACCCTTGCTGCAGCTGACGAAGCATGAGCTGCCCGGCACAGCGTCGTTCACGCGGTAACTCCTTTTCTGCCTCTCTCCTCCCTGAAGGAACAAATTGACGGTGCCAAATACGACTACCCGGTTGAGTACCAGCAGCCACCGGACCTGGCGGGCAAGGGGCTGTGTGCCCGGGCGCTCTACGACTACCAGGCTGGTAAGAGCCGCAGAGCTCTGACTTGCCCTCTGAACTGGGAGGGGGTTTGCTGGGCCCAGTCTCTTCCCAGAGAGCTGGACCGGAGACATCACCCATCACACTGGGCCATCCCGCGGCAGGGTGGGATGCTGGATAAAGCATCTTCCACCCCAACGGGAACTGGAAAAGCAAGCAAAGGAAGCTGATGGCTTCTCTTTTTTCTCCCTAACGTCTGTTTCTCGCGCTCCTCCCTGTCTTCCCTCCCCTGCCTCCTGCCTCGGAGCCCGTTTTACCCGGATAGTCACATCTTCTCATCTACTGGCCCCCCGGCCTTTCACAGCAGCGGCGGGGCCGAGCTGCCCGTGCTTCCTCCAGCTGTAAAAACGCCGTTCTGCTGTGAAACGTGGCTGTCGAGGGCTTTGGGCTCCCGCAGGACACAGCCCCAGGGAAGGTGACAGTGTCACAGGCTCCTTTCTTTAAGTGAGGGGGGGGCTGGGGGGGCCGTGTGCCTGGCACAGCGTGTCCCTGCAGGAGGGACGGCCCCCCAGCCTCTCCGGCTGTGCTGGGGCGGGGGGTCGGGTTGGTTTTAACCCCCTCCCTCGTTCCGTCTCGTTCCAGCTGATGACACCGAGATCTCGTTTGATCCAGAGAACATCATCACCAACATCGAGATGATCGACGAAGGCTGGTGGCGCGGCTACGGCCCCGACGGCCACTTCGGCATGTTCCCTGCCAACTACGTGGAACTGATAGAGTAAGGGGCTGGCGGGGGCTGCGGGGACCCGAGCCGCTCCGTCCCGCCAGCCGCCGCTTGGTCCC